ACAGCACTGGTCTTCTTCTATGTTCCTGAACGTCACATACAATTGCAATATCTAATTTGTTTGTCACGATGAAAACGATTTCAGGTGATCGGAGGTGAACATCTAATAGGAATGAAAACATTTATGTCACAAGATATTATAACTTGGCTGAACAGAAAGAAAACCTTCTTTCACTTACGCCTCCTTTTCAATCCCTTACCTCATGAATTTTTTCAAAAACTTTCCTCATTGTACTTTGCAGCAACTCTTCAATCTGTAATTCAGGATAATTTGATTGTTTACTCCTCTATTGCTTGCAACGGTATTGATATTTCAATAATAATAGTATTGGTATTTCAATAACAATCACATTAAAACTCATGTGAATTTGAATTTTTTTGTTTGAACAAAATCAATAGTATGAAAAATGATAATATTAATAATAATAATAATAATAATAATAACACAGCGAATACAATCTTCAGAACAACGTAATGTAAGTTTTAATTATCACAATTATTGTATTAAGGACTTTTTTACCCTGATCATTTTCACTTGCACAACCAACAATACTGGTCATACAGTTTTTGGACTGAATGAAAATGTCAAACATATTTAATAGATTGTTCTTTTCTGGTCATCGAGGGTTGACACCCGCGCAGCTCAACTTAATTTCGTAGACCTTAGAGCTATCGGAAAAAGACGACTTTTAAACCTTTTTCTGCGCATTGAGCGTGCTTTATTTTCCTGTTTTTCCACTTTTTTTAGCTTCACGCATAGGCACAAAAACAATAGGGGTGAAGGTTTGTCAATAGGTAAATATTTCTCTCTTTCATTTTCCTTTGTTTGCTTATTTGTTTTTCATGCTTTTTTTTCTGTATGGAGAAAAATCGTCTCCGTCATTTTCTTTCTCGGTTCTGGACCGAATGCAATACGAATGAACCAATCTGACCCTTACAACATAGGAAAATAAACTACTTTAGCCGGAGGTGAATTTGTACAAATACGTTGAGTAGTGGTTGATCTTTTCTCGCGTAATCACTGCGGGAGCCGGGTTTTTCACCTCTCGTGAGCACGCGTGGTCATGGTGTGATGCGTAGCCTGTGCGAACAGTAGCAACAGGAGACACTTAAATTAACGGAAAGCAAAAACAATACCAGTTGTAAGATTTAAAACACTTTCACCAGGAAGTAATCTTGCTCATAGCTGTTTGCTGGTAACCCTTGTGTCTTTGAAGTAAAGAAAATTGTAGCCGGTAATAACAATAAGAGTTTTAGAAAAATCATTTTTAGGAGATTATTCTTATTTCAATACCTACCCTGTCTTCTTTAACTCCTCCACTGTTTGGAGTGTTTATGACATAAACAAATGCTAAGGCCTGAGTGAGATACTCGGTAACCATTTCAGTCATGTGTTTCGTTTCGCCAATACCAGGACTGTCAACAATGGCGATCCCTTTCTGAGATAAACAAAAATTGTAGGCTTGTGAAAGTAGGCACGTTTCTTGCGACGCCACTCAGATACACAAGCTCAGTTTGAAGATCAGCAATATCCTGCATCGTACTACACTCCATCGAAGATGCACGCTTCAATTTTTTTTTTTTTAACTTTTAGAGGAAACCATACAAAATATTTGGAAAGGTCGCAGAAACAGCGTCATATCGGGAAGTAATTAAAATGATATAACAGACTCATAACTGAAAAAAAGTTGCGACTTTTGTTTGGAAAACTTTTGAATTGATCCAAATGGAAGACTTTAAGAGCTGTTGATGTTGCATAAAAGGGTACGCGTAACCAAGAACCACACTGAGATAGAGGAGCCTGTGAAATCATTGGAAGTAAAACTTTGATTAATTAGGCCAAATTAGTCAAATTAATTTGAGCTCGTATCAGAATTACAATAATAATAATTACAATACATGCAATTGTATTGTGGCTTCAAGTACAAGGAGCTATTTCAATTGATACAAATTGTGGTTCCTAGTATTGTAACTTTTTGCCTTTCTTAGTGATCTACCAAGTTTAAAGGCTTGCTGAATACGATTATCAAGTTTTTTTTCATCATACCTCCAAAAGTTGGTGCGGCAAGAAAATTTCAATCTTTTCGTAATTTGAGCATTTTTTCTGTTTTGCACCCCCCACATATTTCTGTAACTCCGCTGGATCCACAAAACCGAAGGTCTCTTGTCTTTTTTCTTTTGTAGAGTCGGCTTCTTTATAGTGCAACACAATCTGACGTTCCTTTCCGTATTTCAATTCACAAATGGCGGATGTTGTTGGCAGAAAATTAGAAGGTAGAACTTCCTCTCCAAGAATCAGATTTATAAGGCTACTTTTTCCAGCGCTCGTCTCTCCTTGACAAGGGAAAAATTGATAAATGAGCATTTTAAATGTAGCTTAAGTATAGACATTATTATTATCACTCAACAAGAACGAAATTATAACTTACCTGCAACAAGAATATGGACATTTTCCCGTTTGAGTTGGTCAATGTGATGTTCCATTGTCCTTCGAATGCTCCTCCCACTTAGTGGTAAAAGGCGTGACTCTTCCTTCTCTAAGCGACCCAAAAGGTCATTGGCTCTGGAAAAAAGACTCAGTAGCTCTTTCCGTTTCCGTGCATTTTCAGCTCTTGCTTCTAAAAGAATTGTAAAGGCCTTGATAGGGTTGTAACTCTAAAGGGAAAGTATTAGGATGACACTTTATCGTCACTCGTGTAGACAAAGACAGAAAATGGTTTTAGTGTAAAATTTATGTTCACGTTATACTATGACCTTAGTTATGAAAACTAGTTGTTAACCATCAAGCCCAGAAAATTTGGATTGGTGTTCGACCTTGCCTACAAAGTGCTACTTTTAGCATACGCAGTCAGCTGCATTGTGGGCACAAGATTAGCCATTACGTATTTAGAAGAGGAGGCAGAAGTTTATGCACACGCGCGAATACATGCGTAACTTGGAAGTCCCGTTCGTGTGCGTTAAGAAACACTCGGTGAAAATGATTAAGTGCGCATACTGCAATTTCTAATCAACTTGCAAATCAACAATAATCAGAGCTAAAGCTTTTTTACAACCGGAGGAAATTATCTTAATTGAGGTTTGTGGGAAAAGGGTTCGGGTTAAAATAGGTTGGATGGAAAGAGAGAGAGCGACCAAAAAAAGCAAGAGGTGAAAGGCATAGAGCGAGTCGAGCAAAACGCGGAAGAGCGTTAGAAAAGACACGAAAAG